CACACTGGCCTTCCAAATTCACTGGTCTCAATCCCCAGCCCCTGCCCCTCCTTTTTCCTCCTTAGCCCCCAGCTCCAGCAACCAAGGCCAACCCCTCCCCATGACAGCCATGAGACTGACTTGGGGGTGCCACCCTCCTAGCTGCTGTTAGGTACCTAAGAGGCTCATCTTGTTCAGTCCTTACTCCAGTCCTGTGAAGTGGTCACACTTATTCCTCTATCATCCAGAGGAAGAAACTGGGGCTCAGGGAGGTAAAGTCACTTGTTCCAAACTATCCAACAGTAGGCAGTGGAGGTGAGATTTTAATTCAGCCACCCCACTTGTCTCTCAGCCTAGTCTTCTGCTGAGGTGGGGGTAGGGGCTGGCTTGAGGCCTGTCTCCCTAGCAAAGTTTTACCTAAAGGTGTTAGCCCAAAGCACACCTTCATACCCAGAATTTCCCCCAGAAAACCCAGTCAGAAGGGGAGTTAGGCTGGCTGGAGTTCGAAGGGGCCAGGAAGGCTGGCTCATTCTGGCATTCACCCTGGCATTCTGGAAATGACCTTGCCCCTTTCACATCAAGAGGAGCTTGGGGGTCTCAGACCGATATGGGTCCTGAGAGACAAAGCCCAATAGATCTCACTAGACCCTTCCCCCCAACACCTACTAGGTAGGCTTCTCAAGCTGCTCCATAGAGGGTCTTAACCAGGTCCAAAGCAAAGACATCTCCTTAAATAGAATCCCAGGCCTGCCCTCTCTGCCGAGGGTGGTGTGGTGACATCCTGACAGAGGCCCATAGGCTTCAAAATCATCATTCCTCAGGGGTCTTAACCATTGTACCTTCAATGCCGCAAGAGGTAAGTCCAGTCTACCTCCCACTCCCAGGTTTCCACAGTTAGCATGGAGATCCCAGTTCAGTCAGCAGGGATACTGCAGGCCAGTTACTTTGTCTCATCAACAAAAGCCCTGTCACTCCTGCCTCCCCACCCCCTCTGGAAGCTCCCCTGGCCCTCCTAGGCCTGGGTATTTCTGAGTCATCTCCACAACCCTGTAGCAGAAGCCCCAGGATTGTGTTTTATACTCTAAGACAGCAATTTTCAACTTTTGTCTCACAGCACATATAATTACTAAAATGCTGTGGCACACCAAAAAATATTTTTGTTGATCAAAAAAAAAAAAGCATAATTTTTGACTCATTCACACCAGAGGGCTATTGTTGTGTTGGCTGTTGTCATTTGATGATCTAAAGGAAAGGGGGTCAGTGCTCAAGACTAAGTAGTCAGGTATTGAATGCTTTAAAAATTCTTGCAGCGTGCCATTTGAAAATTGCGGCCCTAACACACTGAGGGTCTGAGAAGGCGTGGCTTGCTGGACACTACCAAGCTGGAGAGTGATAGGGCCACGACCCAAACCACATCTGTGTGCTGCAGAGGTAGGGCCCCTGCCTGGCCCCTCTGAGAGGAGGTTTTAGGCCTCCTCAGCCCATTTTGCAGAGAGAGAGAGAGAGAGAGAGAGAGAGAGAGAGAGACAGAGAGAGACAGAGACAGACAGACAGACAGACAGACAGACAGACAGAGAGACTACAAGAGGTTTGGTGAATGCCCTGGCCAAGGATGCAGCAATCCTTCTGATCCTTCTGGTCTCCCTTCTCCTTCTCCTCCAGGTCTGAGTGCTCCTTGCCTCCAGGGCTTAGTAATCGAGAGGTGTCTTGAAAGTCTAAGTCAGAGTCCCCCGACGTAGGCCAGTCCCTAGAAGCCTGTTCTGGACAGTGCCGCCGGCTAGCTTTGTCCCTGATATTACCGCACCAATGAAGAGTCTCTAGGAGAACAAGGGGTTGGGGGCATTTCCGTCGCGGCTTCACGGCAGTCTGGACCCCAAGGAAAGACGGCGGGAGCCCTAGATTCCGGCGGCCGCTTCAGAAACCCCGAACTCCTGTAGACGGAGTCAGGGAACAAACCTCCCGCTTGCTCTCTCCGGGCGACGGGGCGTCCCCAGAGGCCCCCCGAATAGCCCAAAGCCATCTCCCCTGGAGAGCCGTCCGGCCTTCGGAACCCCAGCGAGCCCTACTGGGGCGCTACCCCCGAAGAGCGGCACCCTGACGGCTCGGGAGCGGTTCCCTGGCGCTAGGTCCCTCTGTCCACCGTCCAGGCGCGCGTCCGTAGCCTTGCGGGACACCTCCCCCACTGGAGCCCGTCCCACCCGGGCTCACCCACCGTGCACCAGCCTCCGCATGTCTTGGTAACGAGCCCACAGGTGCGAGCTGAGCTCGGCGCCACCGGCGGGTGCCGGGGAGGGAGCAGAGCGCGGAGCGCCCGGGCAGTGGGCGCCGGGACCCGGGGGGCCGCAGCCAGAGCAGGAGGGCGAGGACGAGGAGGCTCGCGGCCCACCGTGGCCTGGGCTCGGCAGCCAGCGCCGAGCGGCCGCCCGCAGCCCCGCACCCACCATGCCCGCGCGCCACCCGCTGAGCCCTCGGCTAGTCTGCCCGTCCACCACCCTCTGACTGCGAGCCCGCCACGGTGGCCGCGTGCTCTTCACCCCGGCTAGCCAATGGGCGAGGCGCCGGGAGCCCAGCCGGCCAATGGGCGCGCCCCTTGGCCCGGGGGGGCGGGAGGTCCCGGGACTGGGCGGAACGGGCTCCCCAGCCCCCTCCTCCGAGTCTCTGGCGCGGCAGAGTACTCTGCGCCCCCTTCGGTCGTCACAGCGGCGATGGTGGCTCCTTCTGCCCCCCTCCCGGGAGGTCGGAGGGCCTAAGAATGGCCGTCCCGGCGAAGGTCCAGACGGCTGAGGCGCTGCGGTTCACCCCGGCGCGCATTCCTTTTTCTTTCCCTCCGCGCCCGGGTCTTTCCGCCCCTCCTCCACCTCTAGTCGTCCTGACCTTAGCTCCTCCGCCCCTCCCCTAGCCATAGTGTGGGGGTCCTTTCCCCCTCCTCCGGCCCCTGACTAACTCTGCCCGCAGACCAGAAGCTGGTCCATTCCACATGGTCAGCGAATAAAGAGCCCTTACTGCGCGCTCCCAGGTGCCATCTCCTCGTAAGGTGAGAACCGCAGCGCTAACGCTGAGGCAGCCTTTTCTCTCTCCCCTCTCCCGCCCTGTACCTCATCTAGATGACCCGTGTTAACTCCGAGCCGGAGGACTAGGCTTTGCGCTCTAGGTCTGTGGGCCAGGAGGCAATGAGCCTGCCAGGTTCTGACCTTAGCAAACGGCTGCACCGCCCCGCCCCAATTTTGGCTTCCCCGTGCAGGTCCTCTCTTGGCATCCATCGTCTCTTCCAGCAACGTCGCTAGAGTTTCCAACGAAACTCGCCCTTCCCGCCTTAAACCACTCTCCACTCTTGTTTCTTCTATTCAGATCCGTTTTCTGAGTCTGCATGTGTATCAGTTCGTGCACTGGGTCCTGAGGAGGCCTAAGCAGCCCGGATGGGCCCTGTTAGTGGGAAGCTGGCCATCTGGGCACTTTCTTAAAGGTGTGGGACATTGGAGTATCCACTGTACCTTGGATGAAGACCTACAATGTGCCAGATCCTGGGCCAGGTGGTGATGCAGGGTGGAGACCCAAAGGTGGGCCCGTGGGTGGGTGGATGTGTCCACCTGAAGGCCTCAGTGAGCTAGGTGGGCACTGGGGAGCTGGCCACACGTAAAATTCATCTGGGCAGAAGATGGGCACTGTGGTACCTGGCCCCCAGAGTCACCAAAAGAGATGGGAATGATCACTAAGTGGATGCGTGTGAGCGGGTTGGATGTGATGGCCTCAGAAGGCAGGTTATTAAAGCAGCGTCTTGGGCACGGCTGCTCAGCTGCAGACTTTACTACCATTTCCCGAGGCCATGCTTGCACTTATTTTCCAACCCGTTTTTGTAGATTTTGTGTCCGCGTCATCAAACTCTTATTGGTTCTTAGTTTGATTTTCTTAGATCGTCTAATAGTTGTCTTCCTTCTCAAAGGCAATGAGGTGAGAACCCATTAAAGACATCAGCAAGCACAGCTCAGCAAGAATGAAGACTCTCAAGTGAGATTTCGGCTTCTCCCTGGCTTAATCTCAACTTCTCAGTTCTCTACTAAAAAAAGAGATGATGAAAGTAGAGGCAAGGTTCAGTAGGCTGTGGAATACATATAAAGAGCTAGGGCTCCATAAATCGTTATCATATTATAGCTAGTCCTTTTTTAAAAAATCCTCACTTGAGGACAATTTTTCATTGCTTTTAGAGAGGGAGAGAGAGAAGCCTGGATTGGTCGCCTCCCATATGCGTTGGTTGTGTGGATACCAGGTATTATAAATGCCTGACCAGGGATCAAAATGGCAACCTAGGTATGTGCCTTGACTGGAATCGAATAGAACCTGCAGCCTTTCAGTTATGGGCCAGTGCTCCAACCAACTGAGCCACAGCAGCCAGGGCTATGGCTAATCTTAATTGATTAGTTACTACAGTTTAGACATTGTGTTAAGTGCTTTATTTTTATTATCTCTAAATCCTAAAAGCATCATAAGGTCCCTATATTGTGTAGCAATTGAGGCACAGACTAAGGGAATATATGTGGAGGAGGGATGTTTGATAAGGCCCACGCTCTTAAATCATTTTGCTCTTGTGATTATTGTGAATGAGATGATGCATAAAAAGCACATACAAGTCCTTGCATAATGGTAAGTGCCCCATACAGAATACCTTTCATTAATTTTAGAGTTGTTTGTCTCAAGATGCTTACCTAGACTTTTGTTGTAAAAATGGTAAGGTTCAGCTTTCAACAAGGCATATCAAATTCTTATTTTAGAAATGTCAATAATCACGACCTCGAAAAAAGTACAAGGCGTTGCATAATTGCAGTTTATATTATAGTCCAGTACACGTTTAGTCCATCAGAGAGGGTCCTCACTTCTAGCAGGACTTAAAAAAGATGGCGGTGGCAGAGCAGGGGGACAGCTTCCAACTCTCAGCAACTTACAGCACCGGAGAGACACCGGTACCCCGCAGACGCCACGTCGGTGACCCCGCCCCCTTGCACCGCCCGGCCTCCAGAGCCGGCGCCTGCGCGTGCTCCCTCAAGCCGGCCTGGGCCTCACAGGACACGCGCACTCCACCGCTTGCTACTGGTGAATCCCAATGCCCTGCCGTGCTCTGATTGGTGGAGCCACTCCAGCAGCTCACAGCTCCTGAAACTCTCCCGCTGGCATTGAGGCAGGTCGGCGATTGCTCGGCCAGCGCCGCCGCCGAGCTGGGCCAGGACGGGCAGGACATCTCGGTTCCACCCGGGAGCCTCAGTCCTGTAGCTGAGGCAGCTCCCGTCGTTCCTGGTTCAGCCTGACTCCTCTCCACGACCTCGGTCCGGCATGTTTTCCAGGGCCCAGGTGAGGCGGATTCTGCAGCGGGTGCCCGGAAAGCAGCGATTTGGCGTCTACAGGTTTCTGCCCTTCTTTTTTGTCCTGGGAGGAACGATGGAGTGGATCATGATTAAAGTGCGCGTGGGCCAGGAGACCTTCTGTAAGTAGGGATGCAGCAGCCTCGTTTCATTGCAGGAAGGCAGGAGGCGGCATAGGACCTATTTTCCTGGCAGATACTCCTTCCTAGTTGCAGACCGCTTATTCCACTCACAGCGCTAAGCTGCTTTCAACCTGGTCAGCAGGGCAAGTGCGGTTCCGTTCACTGGGCGGGCCCTCGAGACCCTCCCGGGCTCTCCTGTAAGCGGAGCAGCAAAGGCACTTTGGTGTCCAACCTTGAGACCTTGCCTACACGTTGAGGGGAAGGCAAGTGACTTCACTCAGGACAGCCTCCTATCAAGCTTGCTGGGGACATTGGGCCTAAGGAACAGACTTGCTCATAGCACCGTAGAAGGGGTGGGATCCTGAGGATTCAGGGAAACTCCTATTAACTGGCCAGTCCCCTGTTGGGACTCTTCAGTCCAAACCCTTGGAGGGAGCTGGTCTGCCCGACTTAGCTAATTACCACAGTCTTTACAGGCAGAGCCATTGGCACCAGGGCCCAGCACTGTGAACAGAATCCCTGACATTGCTTTGCTGAGCACTAGCTCTGGACAGGCTAGTTTGTCTTCTGGGAAGACTTCCCCAACCCCTAAACCCTTTCTACCTTTGTTCCCCCAGAAACACTATCACTTGTGAATTACCAACCCTCATTTAAAAAGTTACCTTAGTGCTCTCTATAGATATTTATTCCTTCTGTTCATCCAGTCATCACCTTTTTAAAATTTATTTTTAGAGAGAGAGGAAGGTAGGGAGAAAAACATCAGTGTGTGAGAGAAACATTGATCATGAGATATACATCGATCAGTTGTCTCTCATACGCCCCAACTGGGGACTTGGCCAGCAATCCAGGCAGGTGCCCTGACGGAATGGAATCAGTGACCTTTTGGTTTGTAGGCTGGCTCTCAATCCACTGAGCCACACCAGCCAGGGTCATCCATTTATTAATTTTTAATGAGCACTGATGAGAGGATATAATGAACAAGGCAGAAGGTCCTCCACTCCAGAACTCTTAACAGGAGAGACAGACAGATCATGAAGACAGTTACTATTGAGTGTGGTCATTGCTCTAAGGAGAAAGTGTGGGGAACATGGGAATCTTGGGTGAGGCACTTCAATTGGACTAGATGGTGCAGGGAAGGCTTCCAGGAGTGAGCATGTCAGGTAGGTCCTGAAGACTGAGTGGGTGTCAGTCAGATGAGAGGAATGTTTGTGAAGTTGAAAATGCCTCATACCAGTGGTAAGAGCAGACATGGGGGCGTGGGTGTGAAAGTATGCTGTTTGAGGGACTGAAACAGGTGAGCATAGTGAGGGATGAAGTGGCTAGAAAGGTGCCTGGGCAGGTCCAAAAAGAGACTGGAGAACCGAGGATGTATCCCAAAGGATTGAAGGGTTTTAAGCGGCAGTGGATAAACACATGTAGAGAATGGCTGTTGTGGAGAGGAGACGGGCAGGAACACTTAGGCTGTGTGTTTACCTAGGTTTGAGATGGTGGCCTGGTCTTCGGTGGGGACCGAAGGGATGCCAAGAAATGATGGACTTGAGAAGACACCCAAGAGGTAGTCCTGACAGGGCTTGGTGATGGAGTGGACTCAGGAGACAAGGAGTGGGGGGCTTCTGCTAGGATAGCTGGGGCAGGGGGAATGCGGGTAGGACAATCCCGGGCTCCATTTGGATGTGCTGGCGGTTTGGAAGTGGAGACGGTTATATGGATCTGAAGCTGAGGAGGCAGATTTGGGCCATAGATCTGGGTTTGTGGGTTATTCACAAGCAGGCTGTGATGAAAGAGTCAAACCTCAACATTTTAAGAGTGATTAAGAGGCAAGCAGGGGAACCAAGGAGGATTTATCTCAGAAGACAGGCATTTCAGAAAGCTGACTATGCAAATGGGAGGTAAGTCCCCTCTCCCCCACCCGGAGAGACTTGAAGATAGGCAAATCTGATCAGGAAAGAGAAGGTGGAGGGAGGCTGGACATACCTTGGCCCTGGGAGGGTGGGAGAGAATGGGATCAGAGCATGGCATCCCTAATAGCCCTTGGAAGTTAGCTGGGAGAGTTCTTTCCTGATGGTTTTTCTCTGGGAGAAAGAATTCATGGCCGTTTGGGGGTGGCTGAAAAAGGGTCAGGGACCAGGCTGAGGAAACAGGATTGTCAGGCAGGATTACAGTGGACTCAGTCAGACGCATCATTGGCCCCACAGTGCAAAGCAAAACAGTGAGGCATGGAGAAGGAAGTTAGGTTATTCTGTAGCTGGGGTTTTGAAGGTGTGTCAAGAAGCTGACATTGATCGGAGGGGGAATTTCAGCTGGTTGGGCAGGAAGAGAGGAGGAGAAGGGGCTTGCTTAGGGGGTCCTCAAGGTCCAACAGCCTGGGGAAGAAGTTGGTAAAAGTCCAAGGACAGAAGGGCTAGCAAGGTAGTAGAGGTTGTGTGGAGGAGGCAGGGAGGTGAAGGATGCTAGTGCTCTATCCCTGGGACAGTGGCACAGGACAGGGTTGAGGAGCCTGAGCTAGATGCTCTTTTCAGTGATTGAAAGGGAGCGATGGAGAGCAGGTGCCAGTGCAGAGATGGCAGCAAATGGCATAAGCCCCAAAGGAGGAGGGTGGCAAATCAGTAGTCTGGAAAAGCAGCAGCAGACAACAAAGAAACTGCCCTCAGCTCCCCACCCTGAGTTCCTGGGTGTGGGACAGGGAGCAGCAGAGAGCCACAGATCAGGAAGTGTCTTTGAGGGGCCAGGTTTCAGGTAGGAAGGATGATTTCAGTGAGAATAGCAAATATCCCCCAACAGAAATTGGGGGATAAGGAAGTGAGAGAAGTCTTAAAATTTTAAAATATTGCCAGATGTGCTAGGACATGATCCTATCTTCGAAGACTCTTACCTGCTATTGAAGTCCAGAACTCCATTAACAGCCTCATTTAACTGTTTTAAACTGTTTATTTTGGCATTGAATTAAACATGAACATTGAGATTCAAATAGAGTGACTGACCTAGACTATTGGTTAAATTGCTCAAATCTGAGTATTTTTAATTCCTCAGTTTCTTAAAAATCTAAGTAAAATTTTTGTTTAATACAGATGACGTCTACCGCAGAAAAGCGTCAGAGAGACAGTATCAGAGAAGGCTGGAAGATGCATCAGAGACTGAACGTCAACAGTCAATAAAGTGAATATGAAATTTTACTAGTTTCAATTTCTTTAAAAATGTACATTCATTAAAACATACATTCATTTTCTTGTCAGAGGGAGCATTTTGTGAAGTGTATGATCAACCACTGTGCTGTGCACCTGAAACTAATACAAAATAACACTGAATGTAAACTGATTTAAAAAACAACAAAACACATTGCTAACATTCCAGTGAGTTCCTCCTTTCCTATGCACTTATTATGGGTGGTACTTAGCTGTCTATAAGGTTTGCACTGGAGAAGCTGAACCTGCATGGAAAACTACATCCCATGTCTTTTACTTAAGTGACATCTCTGTCAGTTGTCTATCTGAACTACAGCAATTTGTCCTCTACATTCTAGGAGAGAAATAAACTTGAAACAGCGAAAGTTCTGAGCACTTTAATCAGTCAGGGATTTGCATTCTGTAGTTGCCAGGAAATGGCATTTCTGTACATGTGGCAAGGAGAAGGATCAGGAGTTGTGTCCTATACAAAGACAATCTGAGGTTAATTTGATTCTGACTACCTTCAATAAAAGGTGAAATATTAGCCATTGAGAGGCAGCTTTACATTTGTAATTCCAACAGCTATTAGTTTTCATTTGTTTTTGATCATCTATTAAGCTTGACAGCTAAAAAATAAATTCAACAACTGTGATTTACTGAAATTCATTTTGGTGTATAGAAAGTTTAGAAAATGGACAGTCTTTCATAAAAGATGATGTATCATTTTAATGGTTGAATACAACAATCAGATCTTACAAAAAGAAAAATACAATTATGTAATAGCCAACACCCTACCTAGAACAACTAGTAAAGTACATATTTGGTTAATAATGATCTTCAGGTCCTGGTCGGGTAACTCAGTTGGTTAGAGCATTGTCCTGATATGCCAAGGTTGCGGGTACTATCCCAGGTCAGGGCACATACAAGAATCAACCACTAAGTGCATAAATAAGTGGAACAACGAATAAATGTTTCTCTCTCAAATCAAATATATTTTTTTAGTTAATTTATTTTTAGACGGGGGAGGGAGGGAGGGAGAGAAGCATCAATGTATGGTTGCCTCTCAAGTGCCCCCCTACTGGGGACCTGGCCTGCAACCCAGGCATGTGCCCCAATTGGGAATTGAACCAGCAGCCCCTTGGTTTGCAGGCCGGCACTCAATCCACTGAGCCACACCAGCCAGGACTCAATAAGTATCTTTAAAAAATGATCTTCAATAACTATTGAGTATTATTTTGTGATAATATAAAACAAATATATTGGAATAGTTTGTTTTCTGATTCTACTAATGGTACTTTTTTCCTAATAAGCCAAGATACTTTTTAAACAGCTCTATTGAGGTACAATTCCTGTACCACAAAATTCAGTCATTGTAAATGTTTCAATTCAAACTCAAATCTAGTTTTAGGAAACTACTCTCATCTCAGAAAGTTCCTTTGACCATTTGCAATCAGTGACTGCCCTGATTGCTTGGTTCTTTCCCATGCGTGTTAGTAGCTCTCCAGCAGTAAGCTATGTGGGAGACTTATGTTGCCTTTCTATGGTTTTCTCATTTTTAGGTTCTCTCAGTTAAATCTGACTGATTCACTGGTTGTCCAAACTAGGACTGCAACGTAAGGTTAGTAAAGTTGCAGGTTTTTCTAATTCATTTCCCTCCACCTTGGCCACTTTTAGTAGGTAAAGTCACAGACTTTCTCCTTCCCCCAAACTGATGCTACTTCCTCTCCAGGAGTAAAGCTGCTGTTTTTTTGAGACCAGCCCATACTGGTAAAGCCACTCACTGCTTTTGCTACTGAGCTGGGTGGGTGAGCTGAATTGAAGCAGTCCCAGGCAAAAAGGCCATGGACTCTCCTCTGTTCTTAACCAAGTTTGAGCAGTTTTTAAAGAATAAAACCTCAATTTGTAAAATACAAATAAAAATGTACTTTTCAGATCTTTTGTTCTTATACAGAACTGCCGTAATAAAGAAATTTTGTAGTTTTCCTATCTCTACTTTGCATTCTTATTTCCCAGGTCACTGTGGAACAGCATGTGTGGGAAAATTATTTCCTTCTAAAAATATCTACCCATTGAATCTAGTCCATGAAGTATTTTCTGAACAATTCTAGGATCAATCAGGATGCTTTGAAGTGCAGCCTGAATTGTTTGTGATTTTTTTATTTTTTGCAGAATTCAGATTTAATCATGGATATAAAAGTAAGATCTAAGTAGAGATCTTACTTTGTTGGAGACAAAACCATTGTAACCAGGATAATTATGCAGATGACATTTCTGTCAGCAGCCACTTTGTACACATTTTGCTAGGGTGATGGGAATTCCTCACTGACGACATTAGTCACAGTTACAAGCTCTTAAAAACAGTTACAAGCCCTTCCCTTGACTGGCTCCATGAGCATACATCGTTAGGCCTCCTTGGGGTGGGGGGTGGCAACAGGCTTCACACCCCTCTCTGATAAAGACATTGTTTCAAACAGCTGCTAAATAATATAAAGACACTGCTCCTTGCCTAGAAACTGAAACTTCACTGTGTAAAGCAACTGTAGACTTAAACTAAATCAGAGGCTCAGGTCTACTGGCAGAGATTTTCCAATTTGACCCAGGATAAGTTTGAGCCAGCTGGTAGAAAAAGCAAGGGCAACTTCCTATGCTTTGATAACCAATCCTACATTTCTTCAAACAAGAAAATAGCTACATATTAAAGAACAGTAGTTTCAACATAGTTTCTACTTCTCATGAATAAGAAACAAATGATTTTGAGACAGGCCAGTAAGCCAGGACAAATGGAACAGGAAAGCAGGAAGATAGCTGAACAAGATGGCCAAGCAATTTATAGGCAGATACAGGTCAACTCCAGGACCAAAAAAGCAGCAAAAGCAGGTGGGCAATGCCAGGACCAGCTGCAATGACTAATGACCTGCCCTGAAGTGACCAATCATTGGAGACCATGACCCTGAAACAGCACACCTGAAGACTGATGAATATCCTGCTGAAATCTCCCCAAGTACTCCCCTAAAGAGAGGTCTCTCCTGCCTACAAGAGAAATACATGACTGAAGACAAAGGACCCAGCACCAGCTCTTACTCTGGGGAGCAACCCATGCCATTCCATTCTCCCTCTCCTTCTTCCGCAGGCATGTATCTCCTAAATTCTAAGTGTCCTCATGAGATGAGACTGGCAACCAGGGGAGCAATGGGCAGCAGCAGCACATACCAGGCTAATCCCTTAATCCCATCTCCAAGGTCTCCTTTTCAGACCTCCCAGTGAGTTAAGGCAGCCCTGCCTAGGCTCTCCTGTTGCTTCCATGCTAAGCTCTCCCTTGTTTCACTCTTCCCAGCTGTAAGAAACGTACCCTCATAGTCACCTGGACTCACGAAATCTTCCTACATGACAACAAGAACCCACACACTACTGGCTGACCCTAGGCAGACCCACTCAGGGTCAGGCCCCCTATCCAGTAAAAATTTGTCACAAACACATCTTTCTAAATTTTGCAGGGACTCCCCCTCCCCTAATTTAAGCTAGTCCATTTATGTTAGAACCAACTCAGTATAAATAACCACTGATTACTCTATCTCACTAAAGCACTACCTACAGCTCAGAGGCACAGCCCAGAGCTGGACTGAGTGTGAAGACCAATGATAACCAATAGCACCAGGGAAAGGAAGGTGGTTTTTGTGTGCACTTGCCATCACCTCAAGAGTTGCTGGGGAACCCCAAAACTCACAGGCATTTTACTGATTACATTGCTGCATAAGAAATTAAAATTGTGCTATGATTCTCTCAATTATATGGCCTTATTCCATGTGCCCCCCCAGTTTTAGAAGTTTAATAATACCATAGAGAATATTTATTTATACATCTTTTACAAAGAATAGTTGTAAATGTTAATAAAACCAGCAGCTAACTTCTTTGTTTGCTGTGGGTTTCTTCCCTGGCCTACCTTTTGGACTCCATCCTAGAGAATCACTAGCCTGAAATTTGTGTTAACCTTCCCTGAGTTTTCTTCCTAGTATGTATTAGTTTGCTGATTTATTGAAGAACAAACCTTTGAAGATGACAGGGCAATTTCTGACTTCAAGGCAAGGAGACTAGCAAAGCAATTACTGTTATTAAGTTGAAGACACTTTCAGAGCACATTAGTTTGGATGCTGTAAGAACTAATCTTTGTTAACTAAGTTGCAAGATTTTTAGTTTGCCACAAAACAAACCTTGTTAACCCTTCTAAGGAATATGACTATTCTATCAGACACTGGAACTATTTAAGTTAGGAACTTTAATAATTTAAAGGTCCTCACTCTTAGTATATATACAGATTATAGAACTGTAGTGTCAAGGCAAAAAATTTAATAACAAAATTTAAAACCCTCCAAATACTCATTCTAGAATGACAAAAGCCTAATTAGCATTGACTGCTAGAAATCTACCTTTACTGTAGTGTTGGGGAAAGAATGTGGGCTTTGAAGCTTCACTTTATAATCTGAACTGATAAAGTACCTAAATGAGGCACATAGTAATTCTGTTCATCTATCTAGCAGTCCTATTTGGAAGTTTTGTCTAAATCTTTGATGTTGGAACTTACTCACATTAATCTTTTTGTAATTTTTTTTCCACACTGAGTAACCTCTTTAAAGAAAACACTTGGAACACTGTTTTCCAATGTGATTTCTCTTAGTTGAACATTATCCATTTTTAATCTTCATATGTGTGAAATTTCTTGCCATTTTTATGTGCAATCCAATGAACACATCTATTTTGGGGACAGAAACAGTCTGTCTGTTTGGTTCTGAACTTTCCTTCAGCTGACCTAGCACAGGCCTAAGAACAGAGTAATACTTAGCAGTAGGTATTTGTCTGCTCATAGTGTTTAGCTGGAATGTTTATACATCAGTGATCATTCAAAATATACTCATGAGCCTAGAACCACAGGGATTTGCAAAGTGATGTTAGAGGAAAACAGTTGGTTGATTTTACCAACACTTTGTATTAAAAGTGTGGTTATGTTTTAAGAGCTTATAAGCATGTTAAAGATATATGTGGGCCACTTGGCCTTTTCTGGCCAGACAGCTGACTATTTGAAACTGGTTACACTGTTTTATGCCTAGGACATGCTTTTATTGCCTTCTGCCATCAGTAACTCTTCAATTTTAACTTAAACCTGCATTTCTGCCCATGCTTAGGACATCTTAGGAATTCTTTGACTGCCAGCTTGAGAGGTTTGGTGTGGAGCACGTCAGGTTGCAGTGTGACTACATTCAGCTTCTGTGTTAATGCAGCCTGAGCCCTGAAGTAGTGTCTGGACCAATGACTTCTCCACTGGAGCTCTCTTCCCCTAAGTGAGCAGCCATATCACTACTGGCATAAAATCAAAGCTTGTAGGAATTAAACCGGCTTGAAACTAATATCTGACACAAGCTTTAACAGAACAACCAAACCTGGTTAATCCAAATCACTTTGCAAACTCCATTTTTATTTGGATTAAAAAGCTTTTCATGAACAAACATATGATACATACATGTTATAAGACTAGTTACCACTTAAAACTCTTTTGATACAGAAATTAGAATAAACCAAGTTTTAATCAGGTCTGAAAATGTTCCAGCTCCAAAATCAACACCACCAATTTGGAGATTTTACATAACAAATTATCCCCTCTCAATTTTTCCTCATAGGAAGAGAAGGGTGGTTTCAAAAACAAAACAATTCAAGGCCTTTTAAATCAGTTGTCTGACATACTATTTTAAACCTGTAGGTTTTTCCCTCCAACATAAACAATTCCTTTCCACATGAACTTACAGTTTTGAAAATATTTAGGCCATTATGCTTTCTAAGCCATATCACTACAATTCCTAAACTCATGAAAAAAAGAATAGTTAACTTGTACTTTCTTAAATCAGGACTTTTTTTTTTTGGTTTTTCTTTTTTGGAAGATGGCTGACCTCAAATCTTATATCCTAAATACTAATCGATATTCTCCAAGTTAATATACAGAAAGACATGATTCTAAAATAAATAGTTTTTTTGTTTTTTTTTTTTTAAAGAAAAACTTAATTAGGGCCTGCCTAGTGGCCCCTCTGGCCCAGCTCTGCACTGCCTTAGGGAAGCTCCTGGCTGGCTCTACAGTTTCTACAGCACCTCTAGACACTGGGAAGGAGCCCGGAGGAGGAGTGCTCTGGCTTCTAATGCCCCATGTAGCCCACAGTGAAGTTTTTAGAGGCTTCCCAAGAAGTCTCATCCAGACCTTATAAAGGGAAATCAAATGGGTGCATGAAATAAATAAATAACTTAACCAAAATTAAATTTCAGGTTCTTTGGTGTATTTCAAAGGATGTCTAGAAATAAAATAATCTGATTGTATTATACAGTTCATGATGATTCAATGGCCCAAATAACCAGGAACTGAAGATTTCTTTATCTGATTCAGTTTAACAATAAGGTACTGACATACTACTGCAATACATTTTTAAAAATTCAGAATTATTTAAAATACTTGATGCAAACTGAGATCCAGTGGTTGACTATAGGCAACTTTCAGTTATAAGGGCCTTCTATCTAGATACAAGAGACTGTTTCCCATTCTACACTTCTTCCCCCATGATTTAGAAAGAATGGTAATTAAATATTCAGGTACTGATTTATACCAGGCTAAAAGAAGAATGGTATTCTCTGAGAGTCACTCTTTCAACTTATAAACAGTAAGTAGTGGAAGGTCCACAATGATAACCACCTTGTTACAATCAATAAAGCGGGCTTCCAAAATGCCTAGAAAATACTGTTCCATCAAACCTGTCTGAGCATCATACATTGCCTCCAAATGTTTTATTTTAGGGTCACATAAGAAAGACTGGGTTATCAAACCCAATTGTTTGGGATCTGTAATGGTTTTTTTCATGAGCATTTTCTTAGATTATGATTCCTTTCTCTTGAAATTCAAAACCATAAGCTAAATTTTAAATATTTTAGAAAGTCTTAAATTTCTGCTTGAAAATTACAATGATGAAACTTAGAAGAAAAAAACAGCCACATCTGATGAGGAAACAAAGAATACCAAAACATTTGCAAATGCAGGCGATCTACCCCTTTACAATTATGCTTCTGATGCAGATCCTATGTGGTTATGCACTCCCTTCCCTATGTTAGTTAGGTGTTATGTTTAAAAATAAATCACCTCCATGGACACCTCAATACTTTCTTTAACATGAACTTCAATGTTTTTCAATGGAAGAGATTTAAAATTTTAAATCATCTAACGTGTATTATTATCAATAGATCAAAAGTACCCTTAAAACTTACCTGCCAATACTAAATATAATTCAGGGTTGTGCACATTTCTATAAAAATAAATGACACCATAGATAATCTAACTCAGCACAAGAAAAAGTGCTCTCTCCCTCCAAGGGTCCGGGAGATACACCAGCTGCAGAAGGATGTACAGCACTGACTTCAGACTTCCGCAGCGAGCCTCTGAGTTGAGAGAGCAAACGTGCATGACTGCCAAACACGAATAACCTAAATAACAACCTTTCACTTCACTTTTTGCCAAAGTGGCTTACGATATTCAGGCACATGAAACAGACACAAGTATACTCCCCTCTCTAAGATGTAAACTAGGACCAACTTCACATTTCATTGTCAACTTAAACTAATCTGTAAACTCGTGTGTGTGTGTGTATTTTTATCACTGTTTGTTCTTTTATAAAAACAAAAAAACAAAAACCCCAATCCAAGACAAAACCTTTGATGGTTTCAGTTCCACGGCAACAAGTAAAAAGATAAAACTGCAAGTGTACATATACAACCAATTATGAAACTGGTTTTAAACAAAGGAAACATATGCAAAAAATCTTTGTGTATTTGATAAAGTCAACTTAATATAACAAAAACAAATTGAAATAGCTTATTAAAAGTGTCCTTATATAAAAATGGCCTTGTGATGTACAGTAAAATGCAATAAAAATTATCCTTTGTTCCTCCCCCGGCCCCTAGTAACTAAAATGGCTACTTTTCCACAAAACTCTTTATGCTTCTATAAAAGAAATATAATAGATGTGATTAAAGGTTTTCTAGATTGTATGCTTGGCGAATGTTGAGAGTGTCTCGGAGCATCAAATCCCGAAGGCGCCAGAGGGCATCTGCCATGGTGGTATGCGCCCCTTTACTTTTCAGCCAGTGACAGGGTAGGCGGCTCTCTTGTTCTTTTGATAAATGGACATCACGTCTTCGAGCTGAAAATTAAAGTGCGGGCAAAGAAATATAAATAGAAATTTAAATTAACAAATTTCCCCTCAGTCCTAAGATCTGATAGATTTATTAGAACATAAAAACATTTATTATTATTTATTAAACATTATAAATTTTAACTGCAGAATATTTCCAAGCAAATCTCTTATATCATTTTATTAGACATTTTGGTTTTTAGAAAACTATTTCACTTAGGTATGAGACTACTTAGTCAAGGATGTCTTGTTTTATGCTGTTTTTGAAATTCTAATTTATAATAATGACTTCACAAAAGAGCCACATAATATAATGTAATGCTCTAGAAAGAGGACACAAGAGCTTAATAGCTAAAGGATTAGGTCATTAATATTTTGTTGCAGGCACTCCTGATATTTAATGATTATTTCCATGTTAACAAAAATTCCTAAAAAGGTAAAGGGGGAAACATAAGTACTACTCTTAAAAGAAATCAAATTAGGTTTAGAAATAAAAAATCAATAGAAACTTAGCAAGTTATTTTAGTTGGTACTGAAAATATATTGTCTGTTGAACTAAATCAATAACTTGATAGGTTAATAGAACATATTTTCTAATACTGTTAATTAAAATTGAGGTGAAATAATTTATTCAATACATACATCTATGTATTTAATTTAACAAATACATCTATGCTAATGCACATACGCCTAAAAAATAATTGAAAATATTCAGAATATACTTAAAAAGATGATGGTGATGTTTATAAAGACTAAGCTTTGACATTCATCAAAAAAAACTTTTTTTAATTTAAAGGCACAAAGAAATTTTTAAAAAAGACTTTATTTTTTAGAGAAGGGGAAGGAGAGAGAAAGAGAGGGAGAGAAACATTAATGTGTGGTTGCCTCTCAAGTGCCCCTTACCAGGGACCTGGCCTGCAACTCAGGCATGTGCCCTGACTGGGAATTGATCTGGTGATCCTTTGATTCACAGGCTGACACTCAATCACTGAACCACACCAGCAAGGGCTGAAGAAATTAAAAAAAAAAAAATATATATATATATATAAATAAATAAAAAAAATTCACTCACTCACTCACTCACTCACTCATTCATTCATTCATTCAGAGATAGGAGGGAGGGAGAATGAGAGGGAGAGAAACATCAAGGTGAGAGAAACACCGATCAGTTGCCTCTCATACACATCCAGACCTTGGACTGGATCAGCAACCCAGGCCTGTGCCCTGACTGGGAATTGAACTGGTGACCTTTTGCTTTGAGGGACAATGCCCAACTAAGCCACACTGGTCAGGGCAGCAAATATACATTTCAAAGTGTGATGTTAATATACAAAGAAGCTCCAAACCCTTCTATTAAATATACCATTTATTTTAACTTGTATAAGAAAAATGGATATTTGCCCTCTGCTATAATATGCCAATGGCTGCATGATGACCTCAACAAAGCATAGATTTTGTAAAGGCTTATTGAGAAAGATTCTCCTTACCTGCCAGAGTCTGGTCCCACTTGCTAATGCTGTTGGACTCAGCACTGAGTCCTTCAATGTATTTCAGGTAGGCCTCTGAGTGGAGAAGCCGTTGGGTCTTGGGTGGAGGAGCCACAAACATAGGCGTTGTTGGCTGCTGTATGACAGAGGGGCTGGTTGGATGTGGGCCAGGGTACGGAGGTGGTGCCTGCTGCCCTGGAGGCCCCAAAACTCCTACCTGAAAGAGCACAGACCACATAGTGAGGGGAAAAAAATACTTGGCACGTGTTTTGAGAAACAGGATAATGTCCAGTCCTAGAAAATCCAGCTGGGAAACTCACCTGCTGTCCATATGGACTTGCGCCTGGTGCTGGAGTCCCTACCATAGGGGTCACCCCTTGATTCATCACACCTGTAATTTAGAATGCAATGTCTCAATTAGAGGCTCTGGTTGACATGACTGAAAAACTACTGTCTGATAAGAATGATGCCATTTATAAGGCAAGCCTACGGACCTCTGCCTTTGAGTCTTTGTGGATAGGAACTCTACATACTCCAAAAAGGATGTAGCATTCAAACAGAAAATTCCTATTCTTTTGTTTTCTAGGTAATTTATAATGCTAGTACAACTTGTTAGATG